GCCGTGTGTCATTCTGGGCTTCGCTTCTTTCGTGTTCGTTGGATGTATCCATGTCGTCGTCGTCGTCGTCGTCGTCATCATCGTCGTCGTCGCCGTCGTCCACGTCGCATTTACCGCTGCTGCTGCCGCCGCTGTTGCTGCTACCGCTCTCTGACTCGTATCTTCCACCGCCGAGCTGGACGGCGATATCGATGACGCTACCACGTCGTTGCGACATAGCCTTGAGCGCGGCTGTGCGTCGCACCGAAGAAGTCTAGGAGCCATATCATTTCGACTTTTTTTCTCCCACAAGAATTTTAATGTCTTATACATCGAGACGCTGGATTTCTGTCCACTTCTACATGCTGCGGAGTTTTTTTTATCTACACGCTTAGCGAACGCGCATTATAATCATTTCGGGCGGAGTTTCCTGGTTGCTGCAGCGTGTTCGCCAGGACGAATTTATAAATCACGTTGACGAATTGTCACGTTCCCGTTCCGCGAAACTTTCGCGCCGGTAAAACATCGGACAAATTTGTCCGGTCGTTCCTGTGCTTTTTGCAAAACAGAAATTATTTAGCTTCTCTCCATGAGTTGATGTATTTGTAGACTTTCGAGCGTAAACTTGACGGACGAGGTATATCGCAAGCTCTCTTCTATCATCGCGACAGCCGTTTGCTTGTTATTATTACGCCTGTGAAAAGGACGTATATGTCAAGTTTCATCATCTATATATATATTCGTACAGTTACCTGTGTAACCGATGTTCGCCGCGTTTGGTACAGTGTAGTCAAGTTTCTTGAAACAAAAATTTTTTAAATTTCATTTTTTAATTCATCTAATCCTTAATCAAATCGTACGAAATCTCGAATTGCTAAAGTTAATTCGGAAGCTCTTTAAAGAAAAATCTTTAAAGAACTACAATTTACTACTAACAGCTTACAAACTGCTATAAATAAAATATTAACGTGTTAAAAAGATATGAAAACGTAAGTGTCATACCTGAGTATAAGTTTCTCGTCATACACACTTTATTCCAAAGAAAATATTTTTCTCTAGTCTCATTTATGACACTTGATTAACGTTTTCGAACGGTTATCGAATTCGTTTTTTAAACATATCGTATTTGAGAGTTTATAGGAAATCGTACTCTCTAAATTCTTTGGAGTGGAACCTCACTTTAAAGAGTAAAAATTGTGCCAATCTTGAAAAAAAGTCTTTAACATTGATATGTTTTATCTCTTCAGAAAGATAAGATTCATTATAAGAGTTTTAGGAAGTGTTGAATTTCATTCGTGAATTTTAAATACGAAACGACACGTGGGCCTCATCGGAAAGTATTAAATAAGAGTGCTGATATTATATCTACGAAAGATATTATATCACATATATCTGCACCGGAGCGTCGCGGGTCTCGAAATCTTGGCTGCGCGTGCGATCAACGGATTCTCTCTCCACGCAACGGCGAGACGGATTTTATTTTCGTACCGCAGTAGCATCCCGCGACCCCGATGCCACTGGCTCCGTCAGCAACCACCCCCCCCCTCCCTCCCTCCCCTCCAATATCTTGCTGTCCTAGCGCGCCACGGCTGACACTCGTAAATCCAAAGCTGCGATTGCCGTCGCGGATACTTCGGATATATAATGTTCGGATGGTGTCGAACAACTCGTACGTGCCGAACGAGCGGTTAGCCACGAACGCGCGAGGCCTGCCCGCGAGTGTCTGTTTGTCAGCGCCCGAATCGACCATCAATTTTTTTCTTCTTATGCGATCACACGACCACGCGCCTACTCGTCATTTCCAATGTTTTGAAATTATCCGCGCGATAAATATTTTGATATTTCTAGAGTCCCTAGAAATAAGAGTCTGGGTCCAATCTTCTAGTTTGTATTTGTCTACGTATTATTACGTGCACTTATACACAACTGTATAAGGCGTATTTTACATATCTACTTTTCAATTTTTTGCTCAGTCATCATCTGATTGGTTCCGCCATTTTTTATCAAGCCAATCGAAAATAGGGCAAGACTGACCAGGCTTTTACTTCTTAAGGACATGATGTATATTTCGATAAAGGAGCGACGCGTATCATGTAGCACGAACAATGACATGCGCTTCTTTTCGTCGTCGCAAATGTTTTTATTTTAACTTTATATAAAAAGAATATATAGGATATTGCAAAACTGACGATAAATATTTTAAAGACGTATTTTTTGTAACATTTTAAGATGATAGTTTTCAAATGGAAAGAATTTAAAAAATTATACGAATGAGAAAAACAGAGGTCCGAATGTTATTATTATCAGAGATATGAAGAATCACCTTCACGCTCGAAATTCTAGTCCTGTTAGTCGTGATTCTTAAAGTCTCTTCTTATCTGAAAACTAACATAGCCTTGGCATTTTCGAGTTAATAGACTGTTCGTCTTAAAATGTTACAAAGAATTATCTTTGAAATATTTATCGTCAGTTTTGGGACCGTCCTGTATAGATGATTTTATGGATATTAAATGGCGTTCAATGCAATCGCGCGCGGCAATTCGATAATTGTTGAGGCGCGCCATTTTGAGCGTGTGATTTCGAGAGTCGCACGCTCGCTCGTGCGGCATACCGGACGCTCTCGGCTAGGAATAGTCGGGACAGGATACAGGACGGGAACAGTTACCAACGCGTCAGGGTTAGCGTGGCTCAAGGCGATCGGGCAAGGACGGTACCGCTATGGGCAAAGATCTTCAATCGCTCTCCTCCCGCAGGAATTTATCACGCGAAAAATCTTGTTCTCTCCGCGGGAATTTCGCTGATTTCTCGCGCGACTCGCCTAGCGATAGAGCTTACGGATCGTCCTTATAGAAAAAGCAACTAAGCGAGCAACTAAGTCGAACGGCGAATCGTTCGCTCGGAACGAACGCGATATCTATCGACATAGAATTTCTAGAGAAAGATATTACGCACTTCCGTTCGATGCCTTTCCTCTCTAAATTCGAAATTGATCTTGACTTAACGAATATTCGACGGGATATGTTATCTTTCTTTTGTCATTGGATATTATCTTACCTTGTCCAATACTTGAATGATTATGAAATTTTAAGTACAGCCCATTTAAAGTTAAGTGAGATCTAAGTAGTTCACTTACTCGCGTCTGTTCATTGGTAATTTCAGATACAGCACAATTAATCATGATCTGAGCTTTGTATCGATAGTTATGTGACGATTTGTCTCTCCCGACAAACAGGGAAATTCTCATTTTCACGGTTAATATTCATCCGTTCCAAATATTGGCGACGCGGGCGCGATCGATCGGGGATAAATAGAGAGGCGCCTTGACGTGTCGATGAGATCGGCAAGCGCGAACGATATAGGCTGATACAGGCCGATACTCCTAGATCCGACTGAACGGGCGTACGGAGGTCGTTGAATCCCATTAAGCGGTACTCTCCGATCGTTTCACTGCCGACCACCTGTATGCCGACGTTTTTTTCAGCCGATGTCTCCGCATCCGCGTCTCTCTCCTCTCTCTCTCTCTCTCTCTCTCTCTCTCTCTCTCTCTCTCTACCCTGCTGCGGCATGCCTAGCACGATATTACGTCGGATGACGTCGACGAAGAGGAGATAGACACCAGGACGAGAGCAATTACCACGTCCTCGCTGTCGTCGTTGTCGTCGTCGTCGCCGTCGTCGTCGTCGTCGTTGTCGTCGTCGTCGTCCTGACGCGCTCATAGTCGGTGAATATCGCGCGCTACAGCTAGAATATTGTATTCTCCTTTTCTCGTGTGGCTAATGCGGCCACACCTTTCACCAACACCCAACCCAGCAGGCTCTGATCCGACTAGCGTACTTAGCTAGCTAGGCTAGCTGGATGACTTGGCTTGCTGATCGAAGAAATAGCCAGGCGCGGTCGCTCGTTCGCTGCGACCGGCAATACGACTTGCGCGCATCTCGAGAGTCGCCTAACAGTAAAGTCTTTCTCTTGCTTTGTTCCGTCGTTGGACGGCTCGGAGAGGATCTCGTAGGATTTTCATTACGTTCCTCCCGTCACTTACAGGATACTCTCGCAATTGTCTCTACTCTCTCCTCGATCTCGAGGAATTTTTAGTATGCCGATGTGCAACTTAAAATGCAACACACGCCATCTCTTCATGTGTGTCATTTACGTAAATTTAGGAATTAAAAGTAGAGCTCGGACAGATAGATTCGAACGAATTGTATGGTCAAGCTACGAATAGTTTGAATTGGAAATTTAACACTCAGATTCAAATAACTTTTATAATTCCAAAAGTCAAGATACTTTGAACTGTTTAATGGATTTGCGATGTTCGGAAATCTGGCAGTTTGGAAAGTTTAGTTGAGGAAAACTTGCGAAAATAGCATTCATTGAGACGTGAATAGCTTTAGTTCCTTCCTTTTCACATGTTACTCAACTTTATTTCGTCCGAACTCAAAGAATTCAACAAATTGTCTTCAAAATTTGTAATAGATAAATATTTATTGTTTTAATTTTATTTATTTATAAACTATTGTTTTACTTGAAATAAGTTCGCATTATATTCAAATTTACAATTGTCTGAAAACAATCCTTCAAACTTTAAAGAACTATATAGAAAATTAGTGAAAACTAGTGAAAATTTCAATGTTATCTAAAGTCCACAAAAAATTTCTTTTTTTAAGCCTGAAATATATAATTAAAAAGTGTAGGCATTATATAGGAACAAAGGAATAACAAATTTCAAGCAATCAGAAACTGTATTCTGATATACAGTTTCTGTAAAAAGTTGTTATCCCTAGTATATATTGCCTGTACTTTTCAGTTGAAGAGAGAATGAAGGTTAAAGCCTTTTATATCAAAAGGTTGTATCTACGATTTTTTTTAATTCGTAGTGCTATGAGTTTTTGTTCCAATCCAATATTTCATTTATTTTAACTTTTACTGAGATATATTTTTAAGATAAACAATAGAGAAAAAACAAACGAGAAGAATTTGAGAAAATAAGAAAATGGATATCAGATAGGACTTAGGACGGCGGTTCTTTAAAAACTTGGAAAAATTTCTAGGAAATTTCAAAATTTATAAGAGTATAAACAAACCTATGCAGGGTGTTCCGATTCACAGCACTTGTAAGCATAATTTGTCCTTGTTCAATATTTGATAGATAATATGAATAATATAATGCTTCTTATAGCATGTGAACGTAAAAAACGAAACACATTTTGTGATTTAAGTTTTTTTGTATTCTTATAGATTTTGAAATTTTCCATACAGATTTTTCAAAGTTTCTAAAGAATCGCTATCTTAAGCCCTGTTTTCTTTGATATCTGTTTTCTTATCCTCAAATTCTTTTCGCTTGTTTTTTTCCTTTATTTTTTATTTTAATAGTTTACTATTCTCTACTATTATGTACGTTAAATAGAAACATCTCAATAATTGAAATAAGTGAAATATTGAATTGGAACAAAAGTTCATTCAAAAGTTCAGCATTACGAATTTCAAAATTCAAGCAGCTGTTTAAACTTCGTTGAAAATAAACGAAATTTGAGTTTGAAAAGGCTTGTGAAAGGCTTAAAATCTCTTCTTCCGAAAGATCTTAAGGTTGTTTAGTTTTTGTGAGTTTGGTAATTTTGACATATAGAAAACTACATGTTGGATAAAATAGGAAAGTTACTTCTCATTTTGTACAACTAAAAACCTTGCAAAAATTTTCGACTTTCTAACGTGAAAGCTTAAAGTTTTCTTTTATAAAATAATTTTTTTACCTTTTCCTTTTTATTACTTGTTGGAAAATTTTTTATTACTGAGTTATCGCGAATTAAATAAAAGGAGTATTTTGACTTTGATTGTTCATAATTCCATTAAAAATCATCATAATTAAGAAAACGAAAAATTAAAAAATTCTTAAAGCTGAAACTTTACTCTGTCGAATGATATAATTGCTAATTTTTTTTAATACATAGACATGATAAAAATGAAATAGCGTTATACAAACTTTTATTTCGACTCAATATATAATTTACAACTTTA